GACGAAGCGGCTGCTTTACGGCATTAAACAGATTGCATTTTCTCATAATATTACCTATAGTAATAAGGCACCATATACAGTCATGTATGTGCTGTAATCTCACTACGACACAGCTGTATTTCTGCATCCAGTATTATGACAATATATGACCTGTTAACATATCGTATTTTCATCGTAAACAGGCGTGTATGAACTGTATATTTTGATATGAATAGTTTTTGATTTCTTCCGAACACAATTTGCCATTCATACAGATAACAACCGTCTTTCGTTTTCATTGTTCGTTTCTTTATGTATAACCGTAATACAGAGCCATGGAATACACCAAAATACCGAGTGTATACGGATTTCGTATACATCGTCCTAAGATTATAAATCAAGAAAAATTCAGATACTTGAATGGAAGAAAAAAAGCTAGGATTAATAGAAAATTTATTTATTGAAAATATTTTGTATATCAATATGAATCTTTAGTTTGAAATATCATATTTAGTGATGGTTCAATGCAGTCAACAGTGGTAGGATGAGTGTCACGATTTTTTGCAAAAGGAGAATATATTTCTTCTAACAGAATGCAAAACAAAAATTTTTCAAGATTGAGAAGATTATATTCTCGACACCCTCTCTTGGTCGAATCGCTATATTCCTAGATGAGAATCTGACGAATTGAAACAGACTATAATAGTAGAATATATCTGAGTTTCTGTTCCGAAACTATCTTCGAATCATCTAATGCCATGCCCAGTTTTATCTATACTCTGATCTTAACGATGATGATTAGGATTATTGCAATTCACATTGTAAGAAGTTAGCACAAGTCATATTTTCGTTTTTTTTTCTTGCAAAATCCTTTTTCTAACTGTTTACTTATATTAATTATTGTATTATAGTTATACTATTTAATTATACATTGCTCAGTAACTTCTTTGTTGAAAATTCTAAAGATGTAGGAAAGATTTCTCGTAGTCAATATTGAAAAAGACGAAGTATAATTGCCACCTTCAAGTTGTCCATTACAGTCTAACAAAAGGTTAAGTATCAACCAATAGAAGAAGAAGCATGCGTATGGCGAGTGCACTTATACTTATGCAATACTGACTACAATATATCTTTCCGGAAATCTTTAGAATTTTTGGCAAAGAAGTTACTAAGAAATGTACAAATGCGTTTTTAGTGGGGATAGAACGCGTTCCAATGCGTTTAAAGCAAGGGGAAAACGATGGACTCTATAATTCTGTACTCTTAGAGTCCAGAGAGTACATGGAGTTCAAGCTAAGTGAAAAAGACGTTCGTTGGTGTTCCTCAGAGTACAAAAAATACGAGAGTATAGTAGAAATATATGCGAAGTACAATAAAAGTACAGTTTTATAACTAAGAAAAATCTAGATTTAAATTCAAGACGATAACAACGTATTTTCATTGTACTCCTGTACTCCTACGGCTCTCTTACTATACCCCATGTGCTTCTACTATCTGTACTACAACAAATACGGGAGTACGTCGTTTCCCTCGTGGTTTAAACTCAAGAATTTAAGTGACGAGCCACATCGAAAAATAACAATGTTGATTCCGAATACTGAAAACTGTATTACTTTTAAACACCAATACTCTAGATTCTTGTATCGCTATTAACGACATCTTTTTTTAATTTCATAGTGGAACATATTATGTTTTTAACAGGTTCACCACCTAGCAACCAAGTAGGCTTATGTCTCACGTAAAAAGAACAGAAATAAAACATACGGATTGTGACGCATCATGGTTTACTTTTTCTTTCTCTTCCTTCCTTGGAATGACTATGAGAAACCTTTGTTTTTATTTTTACCAACTAGTTTATTAACTTCTGTTTTTATTTTCTTGAACTCAATCTAATAGATTCATAAAGTCAAATATTCTATCTAATATATTTGTATTTACGTTTCTCGAAGAGAACGAAAATATAAATAACCATGGGTGGAACATCTTGTAAAGGCGCAGCAAATAGTAACAAGTAAAAATTATTTATTTAAATAAAATAATTGATTTTACTTTCAATTTATTTTCATTATAGAGCAATTACTATTGCTATTCTTGGTTTAGACAATGCTGGTAAAATTAATAAATCAAGAAAAAAAAACAACAAACTTGAAATATTCTTTGTTTTCTATTTTCTTAGGTAAAACAACAACAGCTAGAGTGCTTGAAAAAGGTAATAAAATTCTTTATAAATATTTTAATTATCATTAACAATTAAAATTTAGCTCCAGTCGACTCTGTAACACCAACCATAGGTTATAGTCAAACAGAAGTTACTCATAAAAATGAAAGAATTAAGTTAATTGATTTGGGTGGTGCAAAAACATTTCGTGAAGCTTGGCGTCATTATTATGATGATGCATATGGATTTGTTTATGTTCTTGATTCAAGTGAAGAAAGTCGTCTTGGTGAAAATCGTGATGTATTAAAAAAACTTTTACAAGAAGAGAAGGTTAAAGGAAAACCTATTCTTATGTATGAAATAAATATTTCTTCAATACTTACATGAATTTTTTTTGTTTTTCCTTTTGTTATAGTTTGGCAAATAAACAAGATAAACCTGATGCACTAGATAAAAATGCAATTCTTGAAGATTTAAAAATTGAACGACTTGTTAATGAAAATCAAACATTATGTCGAGTGGTAAGAATGAAAATAAATTAAAAATTTAAATAAAATTAAAAAAAAATTGATTTCTTTTGATCTAATATAGGAATTATGTACAGCTACAGCATTAAATCGTAGTGGAAAAAATTCTAAAATTGACGAAACTATTCGACATGGTTTTGATTGGCTTATTAAAGTCGTTTATGAAAATTATGATACATTACATAAACGTGTTGAACAAGATGTTAAAAAACGTAATGAAGCTGAACAAAAAGCTAGACGTGAACGACAAGAACGTGTACAAAAACAACGTGAAGAGTAAAGTTTTTCTAAATTATTATATATAAAATAACAAAAAAAAAAGAATTTCTTAATTTTTGTTTTTCTTTTAGACGAGAAAAAGAAGAAGGTACTAAAAATGATGATAATGATGAAGATGATGATACAATGAAAAATGGTTTTGTTCCAATTGGACAAGCTGTCAAAAATGCTGAAGTAAGATCTGGAGCTGCTACTACTACTGCTAATGGCGACACATAGAAAAGAAAACTCGAATACCATCTGCTGTCTGTTATATATATGTTTTTTATCTTTATATAATTGATAATAAAAGAGCACAGTTTAATTTCGATTTTCTTATTTGCTAACTTTTATGTTTTAAATGTTTTTCTGAATATATTTGATTGATTTTTGAGGCTCATTCATTATTTATAGAAGAATAATTATTATAAAGTAGAACTGTTCATATTTTATTGAAACTATTTTAGAATTAATATTCTTTGAATTCTTTCTTTTTTTTTTTTTTTCATTCTAGCGAAATTCATCAGAAAAATCAACAAAAGATAAATCCAATCGTATATCATCAAGTGAAAAAATAAAATCGAAAACAGTAAATGAAAATACATCTCTTCCACCAATACCAACACCACGATCTTCATCTCATACTCGTACATTAATTAATGATGAAAATAGTGATGATCAAGAACGTTCAAGACGAAATAGTACAGAAATTTCATCACAACGAAAAGAATCACCAATACCTCGATCTAATTCATCAAATTTTGATGAAAATCAACAAATTGATTCAACAGATGAACAAACATCAATTCGAACACTAACTGGTAAAAAGAAAAAAGTTATTGGTGCTGGTCGACATCGTTTAAATGGTGATAGTCTTCCACCATTAGCTCCATCATCAGCAGTATCTCGTCGTGATGATTTAACAGTTCATAAAGGACCACCTGCTGGTACACCACGACCACAACCTCTTGTTGCACAATGGGCTATAACAAGTCCAACTCCACAATCAACAGCTGAAAAATTAACAACAATTACAAGTGATAATGAATTAGATGATGATGAAGAAAAATATAAATCATTACAAACAAATAAACGTATTGGATCTCCTCATCCAAATACAACAAATCGAATAATACTCGATAGAAAAAATCAACAATTAACAAATAATAATGAAAATTTAGTTAATAATGATTATAAAAAATCATCTCGTGATAAAGGACATCATAATGATTTACATAAAGATGATGATGATGATGATGATGATGATGATGATGATAATCATTTTAATCATGGATCAAATAGACGAACATAATCATCATCAGCTCGTAAAACGGCTGTTGCTGGTGATTCTTCACATCGATCTTATTCAAGAACAGATGAAAATGTTGATGATGATCTACGATGAACAAAATCGAGCGATGATGTATTTTCTCAAAAAAAAAACCTTTATTTCTGTATTTTCTTTCTTTCTTTTTTTTTTTTTTATACATTATTCTATTATGCTTCTTAATGTTTGAAGAAAAGACCAGCACAAAAAACATGTTGATTCATCACTATTTGATGAAAAGCTTTAGCTTGTGAATATTTATTTGCTTGTGAAAATCTGTAACTATTATTTTCTTCTTTTTTTTTTCTAAATGCACCCTATCAACTTTCGTAGAATGTATAATCATTTTCATCACGATATTATTTTAAATAGTTTCAAACACGAAGGTTTCTAGACAAAAAAAGAAAAGATTATAATAACAGCTCTATTATTTTGTTAAACAAAGTAAAATAATGACATCATTCATTCGAAAGAAGATATAGAATATCATTTAAGAATACTTTTGAATTTCTATTCAATATAGTATATTATAGAATTTATGTAATTTGATCTTTCTTACAGAAAGAATGGATAAGAGAAACACATTCTTTCTTCTATGGTTATCGTCCAGCTTGTTCACAAAATAAACAATAATAGCGTATATAACGGACGTATATTCTTACTTTTCTATAGCCTATATATAAATCTATGCAAGATTTATTCGATCATTTCATTCGAATCAATTTGATATTAAAGTTTATTTTAACTAAGAATGTTTGCTATTGGTAATATCATTTTTCTTATCATCATATCTTTATGTCATGGTATACCAACAACTGATCGACAATGTTTACCAGATACAATTGATTTTAATACTAAAGTAGAAAAATCATCAATTGTTGTCTATGGAAAAGTAATGGCTAAAATGTTAGATGAAGAAAGTGATTCAACATTTCATGTCTTCTTTCAAGTTGATTGTATTTTAAAAGGACCAGCAACATTACGACAGATTAATATAACAAATGCTGGTAAGAGAAGTTTTTTCTTTAGACAAACAAAAAAAAAAAACAACATCATACAACAATATAAGAAAATGATTTTGTTTTTAGGTCATATCGAAGGTAAAAAATATTGTCAAGATTTTTCTGTTGGTCGTGGTTATTCAATAGCTTTTCTTGAACCAATATCATCAAATACAACTGATTATTATACGTTTATACCAGCTGATTTTGTTGAAATTCTCGTTGAAGAAAATTCAACAAATCTATTATTAGCTCGTACATGTAATCTTCATCAAATAGTACCTCGTCAATCATCAGCATTAGCTATGGAAGTATGTCCAGCTGTTAGTACTGATCCAATATGTCATGAAACTGTCAATGTAACAATAACAGCAATGACAATTGATAGTAGTCTCATGAATACAACCAATGATTTTTTATCTGATTTAACAACAAATGATATTTTATCTGATTTAACAACAAATAATCTTTTATCTGATTTAACAACAAATAATCTTTTATCTGATTTAACAACAAATAATCTTTTATCTGATGTAACAACAAATATATCAAATGAAATCGTATCTACTTCAAATGAAAATGAATTGTTACCATCTCCAATTGATTCGGTAGAACAGGAAATAAATGCTATTCGAAGTAAATCCGATATACATCAAATTGATGTTGATCAACACAATAATGCTAAATCGATAACATATAGTACACTTTTTATAATAATGGCTATTATCTTTTGTTCTAATTAATTTTTAAAAGCATGACTAACAAAAAAAATAAATTTCGTTATTTTTACTTTTTAATATTTATTATTCGTACGTTTCCTATTTTTTAAAAATATATAACCATAAATAATTTTACAGAATTCTTTTTTTTTTTTCTTATTGGCGCGTAGAAATTTTTTTCTTCTTCTTAAAAAATACCTATGAATTTTATCGAAACAAAATCTATGTCTAATCGAAGTTTATTATCATTGAATAATAATCAAGAATTAAATGGAAATGTAAGAAGATTATCAAAAAAATTTGAAAATCTTCTTGAATTAAGAACAGAATCTTATGAACAATTATCTTCTCCTAAATCTCAATTATTTACATCAATTCATAAATCATTTATAATAGATGAAAAATTTGATAATCAAAATAAACAAAATAAAAATCATATTTTAAATAGATGTTCAGATACAATATCACTTTATAATACTAATTTACATAGAGATCGATCAAATCATTTATTAAATAAAAATTCAATATCAATGATTGACAATTTATTAAATCTAATATCAAATAAAATGTTAATAAGAATTTTTAAACAAATACTTGTTGGTAGTTCCATTGGTACTTTCAATGGATCTTTGATTGGACAAAAAAGTCAGTTTTTATTTTCTCAATAGTTTTATTCTCAATAAAAATTGACTATAAATTCATAGATTTGACAATTAAACTTCTCGGTTTATTAACAACAACTATTTTTATTGGTGAACATATTCTTCATTTTACACAATGGACATTATTTAATATTGGTTATTAATTCTTCTTTTCTTTTTTTCATTAAAATTAAATAAAAAAATCTTTTTTCTTTTAAGGTAAACTTGAATATAGTAAACCAAAAATACCTTATTCAAATTCATGTGGAATAATAAAAAATATTGATAGTTTCTTGATTGATAATATGCCAACAATTGTTTCATTTCTTTTTTGTTTTTATACTTCCATAATTAATTAATATTTCAAATTTATCTTCAATTAGTTATCAATTATTACATTGAGTTGAACAAATATATCAACAAAAATTTATTTCCATTATAGATAAACCTTTGATAATTCATGTTTATAATATCCATTTTATTATTAATGATAAACATAAAATGTGCAATTCAGATTTTTATTCTTTGATTAATGAATAAAAATTATCATACATGTTCATTAAATTGATATTCGTTTTTCTTGTTTTATTTATTCAAAGATACATATATTTTATCGAATGGTAAAACTGCGACACCTTTAATGTTTAGAATAACGAGACTGGTCAACATCTTTTCCAATCAATCATTTGTTTTTCTATGACAGCTGATTGAGTTTTTCTACTGTGTTTCAAGGGTCTTAACGAGAAGAACAGAGTACAGATATATTTTCTCTGTTTACAATTAGAATTCTCCCACGTAAGAAAGATAGAATATTATATAAGACATTAATTATCAACCTTATAAATTATTTTTATTTTACGTAAAAGAAAAAAACCTTTATATATACAGATAATTAAGAATGCATCTAGAAAAAACGACATCAACCGAAGAAACACAAATGGATGGTAAAGATCTCGTGTGTCCCATATGCATGAGTAAGAATAATTATTTGATTTTAAAATTATTCTTATTTTTCTTTTTTTATTTCAAAATAGGTATTGCCGATGAGCCTTATATAACATCATGTTGTCATCGAATATTTTGTTCAAAAGATGCTAATTCAAGAAAATATGATAATGGTTGTCCATTATGTCGTGCAGAAAATTATTCATTTCAACCATCTACTAAACATAAAGAAATGCTTGATAAACTTACAATGAAATGTAGTTGTTCAGAACGAATGTTTCCAAATGACTACGACTATCATATGGCACGATGTTCAGATGTAACATTTACTTGTCCTCATAGTACATGTCAAGATAAAGTAAATTATTAATAAAAATTCTACAAAAAAAAAATTAAACTATTTTATTTTTCTTATTTAAATAGAATGATATTACAAAATATAACTCTCAACAACTTGTCAATCATCTTGCACGAGTACATTGTGATGAAGTACCAATTCTTGGTCAAACATATATAAATAAAAAAACTCTTGAACCATATAAAAAAGCATCAACTAAATATGAGGAACTTGTTTCAACATTATATTCCGAAATTTATCCAAAAATGATTGATATACAATTAAAAAATTCATCAAATCTTCTAGAAACTTCACCAATATTTAAATGCCCATTAGGACATAAATTAATTGATGCTGATCGTACAAAACGTAAACGTAAAGATGGTACTGCTTATTCTTCGCCAGGGTTTAATTGTGATATATGTCATCGATCATTTCCTCATGGTCAATCATGGCATTGTTCATGTAAACAAAGTGGTTTTGATAAATGTGTTGGTTGTGTTGTTTTTGAACTATATGATATTGATAATGATACATTACGAATAGCAAGTGAAGATAATGAAGAACAACAACATCGTTATAGACGACAAACAATACGAAATACTGTACGTTTACCACGAGGATTATTTCGTTTATTAACTAGAAGTATGGATGAAGATGATGATGATGACGATACTGATGATATAGTATTAAGACATAATAGAACATCACAAAGTACACATGAAGGAACAGATGATGATGAAATTGAAGTTAATCTTCGTGAAGATTAATTAACAGTATTATTATGACTTAATTTTTTTTATTTCCGCGATGAACATTTAAACATGTAAAATATTCTTTGTAATTTTTCTTTTTTTGGTTTTTGTCGAATTTCACCTACCCGATTAATTTGTCTTCACGTTTTCTATTTCACTGATGATATATATATATATATATATCAGCAAAAGTTTTCTGTGTATTTTTATAGATAGAAAACATAATAAACTTTTATGTTGATTCTCGAATGATTTATTTTAATAATCAAATTAAATAAAGATTTAATTTGATATTGTCCTATTTTTCATAAAAGATAAAATATTACTAATTGAACATAGATAAAAAAAATTAATCTTATTAATTTTTTCACGTTTTTGTCACATATATATTATAATTCAATTAAATATTTATTTCTCTTGATAACAAAAATTAATTCACTTATTAATCAATTCAGAAATTATTTATCTAAAGCTAATTTGATTAATTATTACTATGTAAAATTTTCAATTGATAACAACAAAAGTAGAAGAAAAAACAACAATCGAGCTCATTATTTTTTTTTTACAATACTTTAAAATTCTCCTTTTTTTTTTTTCTTTTCTTTGTGAAATGTAAAAATAGCACTTAGAGAGTATTAAGAAAGGAAAAGAAGAAAAAAAAAGTGTGTTGTCGGCTACTAAAAACCATTTGTATTGATTGTAGGAAAGGAAACGCAAACAACCAAAAAAAAAAAAAATAAAAGAACAACAATACAATGCCATTATTATATGACAATAACATGAAATTTGAATTAGAGAATTTCGATGATGATGATGATGATGATTATGATGAACATTGTCATGGTTTATTAATTCGACGAAAAACTAGTTATACCACTCGAGTTAATAAATCTTCATCAAAAACATCCTTATCTGCTCGTCAACAATCTGAAACTATTTATGTTGATCAAGCTATAGCATGTGCCTTAAAATCACGTCCAAAAGCGTTTCATTATACACAAAAAAACCTACAATATCTTCCTCCATCTATTCAACATCTTGCAGTATGTAATAGTTTACGTGAACTTGATTTATATGGAAATCAACTTAAATCATTACCTAATGAAATTGGAAAATTGAAATCTATTGAAATTTGTAATTTAGGTGAGATAAACAAAAAACAACACAAAATAGTTTTTCAATGATAGCAATAATATTCTAAGCAAATAATGTCTATAGTATTTCTCATCATTGAAACATCGGATCGACATTGATTTGTTTTTATTTGTTTTTGTTTTCGAATTGATGATGAGAAGAATTATGATTTGATTTGAACTTCGATAGTTTTTCATAATATCTAGAAAGAACTTTTTGGGCGAACTACTAAAATTCGAATCGAACACCAATATTGAACGTCTTTTTTTTTTATTGTAAACTTTCATGAATGAGTTATTTTATTGAATATTCGTAATTTGTATTAACACTTCAAACACTCAAGTTTTCAAGGCTGATCAAAATCAATCACATTAACACTCACTGTGTATAAATCATAAAATAACTAAATCCTCAATAATGCCGATAGAATCTAATTCTACTACACTAATATCCACAAACGCTCATAACCTACCTTCTGACCTGAGTAAGTGTCATCTGTAAACCATTTTCGTATACAAATTTTTTTTTCCGGAAATATATAAGTATAGCTTAAAAATATTTGTCAACTATGCTCATATATTTCCTGAAAAATAAATTGTGCAGAAAAATGATTTAGAGATGACACTTATTCAGATCAGAAGATCGATTATGAGTACTTGTGGATATTAGTGTGAAAGGGCTGGATTCGATGAGTATTGTCGAAGAATAAAATTTTCTTTGAATCATATATAGTAGGTGTTGATGAGAGTAATTTTTGATAGACCTTCAAAAAAAATTGAGTGTTTGAAGTGTTGAAATAAATTACTAATATCGTATTTTATTTGAATTTCAACAGCACATTTGTTGCTATTGATATTTGATAGTGACAATTTACAAGTGAATTTTATCCTATACTTCAAACTTTGTTATTTGACAGAAAAAAAAGACGATAAAACCAATCCATATACTTATTACAATATATTTTTTGTTATTTGTTACAAATATGAAATTGAATTCTTTGATTACTTGCTTTTTTTTTCTCTCTATGAGTTATTAGATAAATTTTAAAGATGTTGATCATTGACAATTACTGCAAACATTTTATGATGAATAAATCTAATCTTAAGTCATAATTAGTGATTAGTAAAGTTGAAATTTTTAGAAAAAAATTTACATTAAATGAATAACAATCGTAGCATACATTTGTTTGTACGACTGCTAATAAAGCGAATT